TGATTTTACCAGTAACTATCAATCCTAATTACTAACTAAATGACTAAATAATTATAAACATGTTCTAATCTTACTACCTCTGTGTCCATTTTAAGAGTAATTTTCAGCAGGGACAAATCATGTCAGCATTCTAGAGGATCATACATTTGATATGATAATCCATTGTAGTGATTAATGTTAAAAAATAATCTGATTTCAGGTAAAAAAAAAAAAAATCAATAATATAATGACAGCAGTCTTCACAAGGCTGCACCCGTGACAGCTGCTTTAATTTATCCGTTATAAACATTGGTGAGATGATAAATGAGGCTAAAATGAAATGCATACATTTATTTTCCTCGGCTGTGTGTCAGTAAAGGAGTTTGGTAGCCCACTTATGCAGCTGGATTTGCATTAAGTGCATTGATGCGAAAGATTTAAATGGCATTGGTCTGGCTACTAAAGCAAAGCAAAAACGTCAGACAAACAGAGAGAAGTAGCACGCTCCTTCTGTGTCTTTCTGCGTATGTCCATGCACATGTTTAGGTCAGAGTGTGTGTAGAAGATAACACGAGAACAGGCAGTGATGCTCCCTGCTTCTATTTAGTGTGTCCAGCAGCTGCAACTTGCAGCCTCCGTCCATACTGTAGGGGCCATTCTGCTGTCTAAAAGACTGATTGATACAAAAAGCAGAGCAGTGATGGGAGATGTCTTACAGGATAGCTTCGATGCATTTTTTCAAACCCTCTTGTTATTCTGCAGCACTTCAGCATTTGTAAGAGCGGAAAACAAAAGCTATGCTTTTGGGTCAAGAATTGGAGTTAGGTTCTTAAATAACAACCCTTAAGGCCTGCTTGAAATAAAGAGATCACAAGGGTAATGCATTCATGAAAGTGAGTCGGAGTTTCCCTGCCCCTTACCAGAGGACGGGAGAAAAGGCATCGTTCTGTCTTTCAATGATGACCTACAACCCTTTTCCTTCAATGGATCAATATAGAATTATGGAATAAATTGAGATAAACCACAAAGTAAAAAAAAAATAAAATCAAGCATCCTGTATGTTTGCTGATATTGCCTTTTTGCTTAATAATGCCTTTAAGTGTGCTGATAATGCCCACATTAGCTCCCGAGAAAAATCCTGCATCTACAGCTGTAAGGAATCATTTAGAAAGCAAACAGTATGGATAAAAAATGCAAATAGAGTTCAACATGGCACGCACAGTCTAATTTGGCGAAATGAGAAAGTGCATGAATGAGGCTCCCTGTTTCTGCCTGTGGCACCAAGTACAGACAAACCACTCGTACAACTTCCCTTTCATAGACTGGGAGCATCAGGGCAGAGACATAGAGCAAGAACACATCATTACAGTGGTGCAATATCTAGTAGGAGATCCAGTACTGTCCCATCCCCCATCTTTTTTATTTTCCTTTACGGTCGCTCAAACCCCCAAACACTCCCACCCTTCCTACTCTTCTTTCCTCCCATCCCCCTCTCCAAAACCTCTACTTTTTTCAAATATTGAAAAAACAAGTATAAAAATTCCCTATTGTTCTGTTTACATAGCTAAGCTTAACTCTGTAGTCTCTTAATCGAACATCAAGGGAATATGCCAAATTCTAGCATGAATTATCCCCTAAGGGTTGTCTACAAAATCTCACTGTGATTAAACAATGTGAAACAAACGGCGTGACACACCCTAAAGCAACACACTTCTAAAGTAATAAAGGCAGACAGACTCAGAGTGTAGTTAAAGGCTTATTTGGCTTAGATCAACTGTTCAAACTAAAGGAACAGATTTCCTCTTTTTATCAATTAACATCTCAATTTACAAGTTTCTCTGCTGTTCTGCATTACTTCCTGAAGCCAATTTCCCCTCAGACAGTAAAAGAAAAAGAAATCCATCCATCTTTTTTCCCCATCAGGCTCACGGGGGGCTGGTACCTATGTACAGCAGTCTATGGGCAAAAAGTAAGGTACATCTCGTCAATTAACCGATACATTATTTTTAGACTGAGGAAGGAAGCCAGAACACCTGAGGAGAATCCCTGCATCATTGGAAGAACATGCAAACTTCATTAAAAGATAAATAAAGAAAAAATTATGTATACTCATTGTTTTATTATCCTGAATGGTGCTGGTTCTTACAAGAATTATGCCTTATAGGCAAATGGCACCTTGCTCAAATAGATTTTAGAAAGTTTAGTCTAAATCTTTAGAAAAACATATAGAGATTTAAGTCTACTGAAAAAAAAAACTTTATTTTTTAAAACAAGCTTAAGTAATAATCTTTGCAGTCAGCGGAGACATTTTTCATTGTTTTGTTTTACTTGAGAAACTTCAGTGCAATGCTTTAAACAGGATTTTGTTATGCCTTCAGTGTGTTACAGTGCTGATGTGAAGCAATCTTCTGCAGGGCAAAATTAATTGACTTCTACATAAGGGTCAGTTGCAACACATGCTCCCAGAAATGCATGATTCTTTCACATATCGATGAGACTGATTTGTTTTGCTCAAGGGAACTTTCCTGACAGCTGACGCAAAGATGAACTGATTAGAGTTGGGATTTATGACTAACTAGAGATGAGAAGCCTTCAGCTGGATTGACCTCTGATAAGAGGCACGGGAAATCCATAGTTAAAATCTATATAGGTAAAAGTGGGAGAGGGGAGTAAACATGAGAGAATATTGTACAGAAGCATGGATGCATCATAAAAGCTGTTGTCTAAACTGACATGCCAACTGAATTTAGTCTCCCAGCATTGTTAGGACTTACCCCACTCCTGGAAAACAGACTTTGTACGGTTTCAATCAAACATAAATCACAAACAGGTCCCTGAGGATGTAATAGAATGCAACAACACTAATGACTTATTGAATAACAGCTGTCCCATTAAAGCCGCCTCCTTCTTGACACCTGATATTTTCTATTACACCGCAGCTAGCGTGAAATTGGCACTTAGAGCATCACGATTCATGAAGTCATGATGCTTTATCTCTAAAGGGCGTGACTATGAGTCAATCACTTAAAAACAAGCGTGACTTACTGCAGAAATTAATTAGCATTACATAATGAAATTTGGCTTTCGCCCTGTGGCATGCAGCAGTTTAAAACCAGACATTTTGGAGGATTGAGCGCCAACTCCAGTGTCGTCTCTTCTTCCTTTCGCACACATGCTGCTACGAAAGGGACCGTGTACTATACAGGCCAAGGCCACTGTCAGCCACAGTTTAGGTCATTTGCTGCAGATATGTTGTGACATCTTTAAACTATAAAAAAATTCCATTTGTTGAAGAGGATAAGTGGCAGAAGAAGGAGCTGTTAAGAGAACTAAGGACAGTAAAAAGAGGCCTTCAAGAAGAATGAGTGGAATGAAAAGCACTGAAGGAGGTTTGTAAAGAGGAATGAGAAAAGTAAGAAATATATTTAAAAAAAAGTGATGTAGTGGATGCGATTTACCCTGCTCTTCTTCTACCTCCTTTACTTTTGGGGCAGCATTATTGTGCCTAACATCAGCCTTAGCAGTACAACACATATAAGGGTTCCAACTTTTTTCAGGGTCATCTTTATGTTCAAACATCTTAATGTGGATACTTGTATGACTCTATTAAGGGGTACAGTAGGGGTGAAAATTGGAAAAGGAGTCATAAGTGAGATCTAGAGAGATAAATGGGATTATAAAGTGGGGTGAGTCGGAGAAGAAGAACTGTTGAAAAGGGATAAGGAGAATGAAGTGTTTGAAAAGAGGGATGACTTGGTAGAAAATATACATGGTTGAGAAGTGGATGTTATATTAAGCTGCTTGGGTGAGCCTGCTATAAAGATGAAAATTTGGGCATAGAGCTTGGAATCCTAAAGTTATGAGTTTGAGCCCCACTCCCACAGACTGCCACTCTGGGTCTCTGAGCAAGACCCTTAACCCCACACTGCTCCCCGGATGCCACACGATGGCAGCCCACTGCTCAACATGGGGACGGGTTAGATGAAGAGGTACATTTGTGAGATCAATAAAGTTCCATTATTTTATTATATAAGACTTCATGTCTCCTATATTGTTAGCATATTACCTACATTAGTTGTGTACCCAAATGACTTAAACATTTGGTGTACTTTTCTGACCGCTATAATTTATGGTTCGACCCTGAACAATGGTCTCCTTTTTAAGTTTACTTTTATATGTGAAAAAAACACTTTTATGTTTCATGGCTTGAGGAAATAATTCACTGGTTCACACTGGAAAACTAACTTATTTAAGGATACACTGAAGCATCCTTCCATTTGAGTAAATCTCATGCTCAAAAACACACAAACACAATGGCAGACTGAGGCCCTGAACCCCTTCATTTAAAAAAAAAAAATGTACGGGATGTCGTTCATATTTATGGGAGTCATGACACTAACAACACAGGACAAGGATCTCCCAAGCAATTATACTTTAATATCTTGGTAATAAATCTGTGTCAGGCCACACCATCCATTAGCGATGCTTCACGTTCATCTGACAGCATCTTAGACTTCACTGTCGCTGTTTTTGCCTTAAAGGAGCAAAGCAGGCCGAGTGAATATTATGACTGAAAGAGAGGCCAAGGTTTGTCATAAGCAATAGTCTAAGATAAGGCAGATGTTAGTTTGACAAAGAGCCTCTTGGATTCAGTTTGCTATAAATATCAAGGTTATAGAAGAGTAAGCAGATACAGCTAATAGGCATACATTTTATTTTAGCTCTCATCAATGATTAACAATCAGGTTGTCATGAGTACTTTTGGAACATCTGGATTAAATGGGTAAAAAAATAAAAATTATTTAAAAAATTACTCCACGATTAACCATTTTTAGATTTGAAAAATATGTTCAGTTTCTGTGAAATCAGTGAGATAAGGTAGTTTAAGAGTTAACCATACTAAATAGAATTGCACATTTCCATAAATCTCTCATGATTTAGATACCTTTGACTTTTGTTTTGGGTTTTTTTGTCATTTTTTTACTCATTTTTTACTGTTACTTACTTTAACTTTAACTCACCTTGTAGCTTCTGCCTGCCTGTCTGCATCTGGGTCCAACTCCAGAACAAACCCTTGACAAAATCGGGAAGAAAATTGAAGAAGTAGACTCAGCTTTTAGGTCACTTTAATTAACAGATTAATCTCTCTTTATAACGGATGAATTGAAGAGGGTTTTTTTGCCATTTAGGATAGAGATGTTAATTATTTCGTATTCAGGTTAATTTAAATGTATATAGCTTTTATGAACAAATAAAAATATTTCATATCAATTTGGACAGATTTTTGCATCATTATCGCGGTAAACGACCACCTGATGAATCCTTTTTAGTTTTCTGTCAAAGGCCATGCAAATTCTGCTTTTACTTCATAGGCTACAATACAAGATGCCTTTCTTAAAGGAATAATACAATACAACCATAGCGCCCTCACCCTCCTCCTGTTCAGAGAGTTTTAAGCAGATCCCCTAATTAATAGAGATGAGAGCATAGTGCAGCTAAATTCAAGATGACCGGTGAAGACAATTCAGCCAAAGTAAGTTCTTATGCAAATACTTTTGAAAGATGCTTTTAGGTGTTGTTTAAACAATTTCTGGTTCTCTTCTCTAGCTGACTTGCATGTTTGCAGGCGGCTGCTTTTTTCTCAAAAATAAAATAACAAATGAGGCACTCTGTTTTGGCAACCCTGGGAAACTCACATGATGGATCAGGGACCAGGAAGTAAACATAGGCTACACACATTTCCAAAGTAGTTCTGGATCGTACCTCTAGGTTCAAAAGGAGAATTCCAGACAAACACATAAAAAGCTGTCCCCTGGGCTGACATGAAGTCAAGCCTCCATTCCTTTCGTAGAAATACATTTACAGTCAAGTAAAACTATTTAAATTAGGACCTTCCCTTTTGGAATTAATGCTGTCTTTTTTGTTTCCCTTAACTTAACAAAGACACATCAAAGCAGTAGAACTAAGATTTAAGTGCAGGTAGTTTGCTGTTACACCCGCTGCCAAATTCCAATAAGTCTGACCCGATGCAGAGCGAGCCACTCGTCCTACCTTCTGCATGGTTTAGGATGGCTCTTAATGTGGCAGAGCCTCAGCTTGAACGCGCAAATCAAGGGTTGGTCTGTAACTGTAGTGTTTAGGGACCAGTATAGGAATGGGCTCCAGTCTCTTTTGCTATGAGACTCTACTGAGGATCACAATGGTAGAGACACTGTCATAGAAGAACAGACCGATCAAAGACTAAGTGGTTGCAAATTTCAGAATGAAATTGCTGCAAAACAGAACATTCTGCAATATTTCTCTTTGAGTTACAGGTAAATTTCAGAGTCGGAAACTGGGAAGAGGGGCACCTGAGAACAAGGACCCCCGCTTCAGGCCTGACATGCTAAGCTGCTGAATACTGGAGACAACTCATCCTTTTCCAAAACAGAGCTCTGGTAAAGTTAGGGAACAAGTTTCCAGCTAAATAATTTGAGTTTTTTGGTTTTGATCATTTCATGTGTTTACTGTTGTGTAAAACTAGCTCACAAGATGGACTGAGTGGTACACTATACTGACATGTTTGAGCTGTTGTTTATAAAGCTAAAACAAGCTGTATTTCACTAAGGGTTTATACACCAATACAACGTTAACATTTATGTGTTTCCTCACATGCTCATTCCATTTGATCTCAGAAGGTTATGAAACAGGTAACTAATGATTATTGGTTTCTCATTAAATAAATAAGCTAACAAAATATTACTTTTCCAAATAACATTTCATTTACAGCTTGAATTCAAATTTTGAATTAGTTTAAACACATTCCATTGGCACTAAATTAGTTAATATTATTGTTGCACTGATACTGATACCAGTATCGGTATCTACTAAAATGGTAAAATCAGTATCTGTGAGTACCAACAAATAGGGCGCCGATACCATTTTAAGAGCCAAAGGTTTCTTCAACTATTGTTACCCATTCCAGGTAGGCAATAATAAGTTCTGCTGGATTCACTTTGCATTAGTCTTTTTCCTGCTTTACAAAGGTAGGCAGCAGCTTGACAAAGCCGTATATATATATATATATATATATATATATATATATATATATATATATATATATATATATATATATATATATATATATATATATATATGTAAACCTCAGCACCATGCTAAATTTACAGTTAATGTGAGGTCAACCAGTTAACAGTGTCACTGATCCTCTTAAATATATTTATATAAATGTAATTAATATATATATAAATATATTTAAATATATATAATTATATATGTGATGTATAAAATACACCTCAAATGCTTAAAATAGCATTGTTTTATGTCTAAGGAAGACAGGTGGAACACAAAACAAAGGACTCAATGAGGTTAAGACTGATTTATAGAAAAACTTATGTGAAAAGCCATAAAACTTTTTAGAAGGCATACAGTTTAATTTCATTAAAAAAGTTTAAAAAAAATACCTGAGAAAACAGGTTAAACTGTTACATGAGAAACCGCCAGGTTATCTTTAAGAGAATCAGTTTTTCTGTCAAGTGAAAGATGTGAAAAAACAGAAAACGCTGAAATGGAAACACAAAGAGAAAGAGCAGGCGAACGAATGCAAATCTGCCAACTACATTAAGAATTGATTCAGAGTTCCAGCCAAATCCGGCAGATGGTGATTGAATGTAAACGGAAGCGAGCCATCAAATTTCCAGCAAAACTGTTTAAGGATGCAGGGAGGGAGGAGGTCGGGTGATGGAAAGAATGCGCATGAAAAGGGCCGTAAAGCTGCAATATGTTCTACCCTGCGGCCACGCTTGTTCCTGTGCAACTTTAATCATCCAATCAGACTTGCCAAGTTAACTGACAGGTCTGATTGCATGGAAATATTTTCAGCTCGTACTTATGATGGATTTAAATCCCTAGATGAAAGAAACCAAAATGCTTTAGTCATCGGAGCAGTCTGGATGCTGCCCAACCACAACATGCAAATAAGCAAAATGAGAAGAAACAAAATAGCGAAGGAGATTTTTTAAGCAACAAAAGAGACTTTGATGGCATTTTTAGGCACAAAACCCCTCATAAAAAATTAGATGGGATAAGTTTGGGTCCAAAAATACATTAATGCCTCCAGGGCGAATCTGTTGTGCTGCCTTTGAGGCGAGACATCCAGTGAGCCACAGCAACCTTTTTAGTTCTTCCAAATTACATTGGGGACCACACAGCAGCCTATTTACATCTGCCTGCAACATGTAGACAGAGTAAAGCCTCATTTTAAACCAAACCTGAAGCTTTTGACTTTTATCCAGTCAAGCTAACTGTGTAATAATCCTTAAGGTCCATCAGTTGTGACACAACCAGTCATCTTACTGCATTCACCCATGCCTACCTAAATACACGGTGGTAGTAATATATAGTGCTAGGATTTTTTTCTTCCTAACCAAGTAATGACAAATGCATAAATGGATCTGCTGCTGCATCAAACGACTGAACTTTGTCACACACTTTTCTTTTACATTAAGGCCACTGCTTTACCAGAAAACAGAAGACGAGCTTTGGGAGGAAAATGAAGTAGCAGAAATGGACGAAAAGTAAAACTTTCATCTAGCTGCTACATGCTGAACAAAGTTGGATAAAAACACCATCTTTATGAAAAGATTTCAGCACAATGAAGGAATAAAAGACATTTCTTAAAAAGACGAATATTAGAACATTAAAGGTATAGTGAGGATTTTAGAAATTTTTTTCAAAAGAACCACCCTCTAAAAAAAAATGCACATGCACAACCCTGTAAAAGCTCCTGAGAGGGAACGCCTATTAAAGATGTGGTGAGAGCATGCAGGAGCCCATTTCTCCTCATGCACGCTCTGTTTAAAAGTTGCTGTTTGCATCGCTCATACAAGCTCACTTTCCTTTATGAAGAATTGCAATTTTTCCACTATGTCAGACTCAGCACCGGTAATAGAAAATAGCGACGAGCACGTAGGATGGCCTTACGTAAACATATCACCACAATGATTGACAATTAGGAGGATCACTTATTTTGATGATCCATCCGGAAAAAGACATCCTCCAATATCAAATAGAAACATGTTTGCCTAGATGCTTAGAGAGTACAATATCTGACCTTGTTCTTTTTTATTTTGGTTAAAAAATAATTCATTTATACTAAAATGCTCAATATTACTTAAATTTCATTTGGAGAATAAAATACATAGAAATGCAGAGATGATAGATTAGGTTAAATGTAGCTGAGTGTACATCCAGTAAAAAAAACTGTCTGCTCCCTACAATCCCCACATATAGTCATCACTATCATTCTCTAAACAACCAAGCTCTTCACTTCAGTAAATCTTTAAGTAAACGGTGTGTCCTTAGGCTCTTAGAAAGGCTCAGTTCCCCCGAGACCTCGTCTGATTCAAGACAATTACGTGCAGCAGAAGCCTGAACCTAAACCTCACAGAACAAGGGGGGAAAACAGAAACAGCAGAGAGCTATTTAAAGTTAGGCATTAAGCACTTCTGTCAAGTGAATCTGTTCTTTCTTTTTTTGTGTTCAGATACAGAATCTCAGAACGTCAGCCCATGAGGCTATCATCTAGGCTACACTAGTGTGCATATGTGCTAGCACAACAGTGGTCAGGGAATCAGATCATCCTGAGGCTGTGTGGTCATGCAAACCCACTCATGTATGAATGTTGTTTTGCTTAAACAGGACTTCAGGAGCAGAGTCTGAGAGGGAAGGACAGCACAGGTCAGGGCTGTCCTGGGAGACACATCACGTGTCTGTGACGTAACAGGGAAGAATAAGTGCATCCTACCTTTTGGTCTTTAGGTGTACTAATGTCACAGCACCCAGAGGAAAGTTAGGGCTTACTCATGTACAGTCAAGCACTATCAGGTTATTGAAAAAGATTTTTCTGTAATTAACAATATAAGAAAAAAACTTAAAAGACAATAGTTGAGATATTTCTTTCTTTACTTCCAATTCTAGCTATAAAAATGTACTTAAAATAGATTCTGGGTTAAATACCCTTTATATAGATGCTGTTTTTTCAACTAAGATTTTAAATCTACAAGGTTACTAAAAAT